TTTTTTTTTTTTTTAACATTTATTCCATTTTTGAGAGACAGAGACAGTATGAGTGGGGGAAGGCCAGAGAGAAAGGGAGACACAGAATCCGAAGCAGACTCCAGGATCTGGGTGCTGACAGCTCAGAGCCCAACACAGGGCTTGAACTCACAGTGAGATCATGACCTGAGCCAACTGAGCCACTCAGGTACCCCGAATTACGTTTAGTTTTATAAAAAAAAACTGCTAGACCTTTTTTCCAAAGTGGTTGTACCATTTTACACGCCATAACAGTGTATGAGAGTTCCAGTGCTCTACATCCTTACCAAGGATTAGAGTAGTTAAATATTTTAATTTTGTCCACTTTCGATGGGTAGTTTGTGGTTTTTATGTTTTTAATTTGTATTTCCCTGGTGATTAATGATATAGAGCACTTTTTTGTGTGTGCTTATTGGCCATTTGTTTATTTCCTGTGAAGCATCTCTTCAGATCTTCTGTCCATATTTTATTGGGTTTACCTTTATATTATTAATTATAGGGGTTCTTATATATTGTGGATATTGATCCTTTGTCAGACATGAATTTTGCGCATATTTTCTTTTTGGTCTGTGGCTTACCTACTCATTGTTATAATGATGTCTTTTAATGAGCAGTGGTTTTTAATATTGAAATCTAATTTCCAAGTATTTATTTTATAGTTACTGTTTTCTGTGTCTTAAATTTTTGCCTACCTCTAAGTTATGAAGGTATTTGCCTGAAGAACTCCAAATAAAGTAGTAGTGCCTAGCTTTTATTGTGAGAAACACTTAGAGGAGAAACACTTTATGTTGTCATGTAAAGTAATAATTTTGTCATTCAGCAAGGCACTTGGGCCTAATTTTTGGTTCTGCTTGTTGAAAATTATTGGACACCTTCTGTGTGTGGTCACTTTTTCTGTGCTTCTACTAGTTGATATATTACAGGAGTTCAGTATTTTTCTCTTTGTGTCTGTTTAGGGACTTGCTGCAGGCAGGCTTGACCTTGTTTCATCACAATCCTGATATATAGAAGAGATGGTGAATAAGAATGTGATAATAGAAAATATTTTAAGAATGAAATAAATCTCTAAGCTCAGTGTAGGTATGGGATTGGAATATATAATCTAAGTGTATATTTGTGATGACTTTCACATGGCAGTGATCTGGTATGCAAACTTTACATTAATTTACATGGCAGATTGTCTGGTGACCCATGACAGTAGTTCTGTGGCATGTTTAAAGATAAAAAGTATTACTTTCTTCTGTGTGTAATAAAGATTTTTAAGGTTTAATTGGGATCAAGAAAAAGTCAATTCATATGGCAGGATTATTAGCAGCAGCAG